AGACCAGAACTAAAGTGATAATAAGTTGATTGAAAGGAGAATATAAACGAAGAGAAAAGGGATACTAGTGTACCGGAGTGACCTGGCAGCAGCATTGCCCCTTCCTCTCAGGGTGTAGTAGCTGAGCTTTGCAGTGATCACTGTTGTCAGGAAGAACATTACGGCTCTGGTTGTCCTTTGCGTTTGGTACATGTAACCTGGAGTAGCTGGAAGCAGCAGAGTGGCTTGGTGTGCTGGAGCAGGATTAGAGGGCTGTTGTAGGTAGGTCACATGATGAATTCTATCACAATTTTATGGCTAATTGCATCATGAGGCTACTTTTATGCACCTCCTTCCCAGGGATTTAGGCTGGGATTTTCAGAGGAAGTTAAGCACCTGATGCATTTCAGTGAAACTGGGTGTCACACCGTGTCTTGATTGGTGAATAATCACATGAGTACCCTAGGCAGGGCCCTTCCCCAATTCTCCTGCCATGCCTTTATGATACTTTGAAAGGAATGGGTTCAGTGTTCTATGTGGTGGGCCCCCATAGGGGTACTCATGGTTTGGCTGAAGCTGACTCAGGGCTTCACCTCCCCTACACCCTGTCCACTTGCCAACCGTGGATGACAGCGCTTTATAGTTCACAGTCACTGCTCAAGCTCTCTCGCTCCATTCGCCTCATGCCAACAACTGTAGCTCTGATGTGTAACCCTACACTGGGCCACCTCAGGTTGTAGCGTGGGTGTGCCCGGTGTTGCTTTCCACCACCTGCTCCCAGTCCTTATCCCTGAGTTAAAGACTGTGGGCCATCCCTCACCAGACCCCTTCTGACTTGACCCAATGGGTCTCAACCAAAATCAAAAGCAACAAAGAACAAACCCCCCCCCAAAAAACAACAAAAGGAATTTCCCAAGAAAACTGAGGCTTTTAGCTAAAAGCTTCTCTCATTCCTTGGAGTCTCAGACTAGCAGAGACTCCAAGGAATGAGTCTTGGAGGCATACCCTTCCGTATACCTGAAGAAGGGTAACTGTACTCGAAAGCTTGCCAAGAACTTTTTTCAAGCTACTCAGTTGGTCTAAAAAAAGATCCCACATTTACTCAAAGAACCTTGCCTGCCTATGTCCTTAGACCAACACGGCTACAACCAAAAACACAGTAGTGTGAAGGAGGGTGGGGAGGTGTGGGAACCCTCTGACACACTCTCCCTTCCACCCCCCGCCACGGTGCACAGCCCCTGTGGCCCGTGCAGGCACTGCCACCCACAGCATGCCTCTCCAGCCAGAGCTGTACTTGGTGGCAAGGAGTGTAGCCAGGCTAGCCTACTTCTGTCCCGTGGGGCTTCCTGTGGTGCACATGCAGCTCCCAGCACTCCTGCACCACCGGGAGGAAGGCTTACATGATGAAACAAGCTGCCTTCACCACTCCCTGCCGTGCAGGTCCCAGGACTCCTGCACAGGCCACAAGCACCCTGAGTGCCTGCTGCTGCTGCTGGTAGGGCCTGTGTACCATGCGGGGGACTGTGTAAGGGGTCCCACACCCACCAATCCTCCCTCACATCCACACCCTGCTCGCCCAATCTCCACGCTCCTCCTAACCTCTGCACCCCAACCAGCCTCAGTCCCATGCTCCGTGCTCTTACCCAGCTGCAGCTCCTCCTCCCCCTACTCCTGCCACTTCTCTACCTGCGGCTCAGAGTGAGTGCTGCAGCAGGGAGATGAGTAGGAGCCACTGGATGCTGGGAAAGCCGAGCAGTTTCCCCAGCAGCTGCAGCAGTAGTAGTAGCAGCAGCAGCCCTTCCTGGAAGCTGTGTGCTGGATGTGGTGTACTTTGATTTTAGCTACGTTTTTGATACAGTCTCCCACAACATTTTTGCAGGCAAGCTGAGAAAGTATGGGCTGGATGAATGGACCGTAAGGTGGATAGAAAACTGGTTAGAGCATCAGGCTCAGAGGATAGTAATCAATAGCTTGTTGTGTAGTTGGTAGCGGATATCAAGTAGAGTGCCCCAGGGATTGGTCCTGAGGCCAGTTTTGTTCAATGTCTTCATCAAAACGTGGAAGATGGCTTAAAGTGCACCCTCAGCAAGTTTGCAGATGACACCAAGATTGGGGGAGTAGTAGATACGTTGGAGGGTAGAGCTAGGATTCAGAGTGACTGAGACAAATTGGAGGATTGGGCAAAAAGGAATCTCATGAGATTCAACAGGGACAAGTGCACAGTCCTGCAGTTAGGATGGAACAACCCCATGCACCGGTACAGGCTGGGGGTGACCGGTTGGGCAGCAGCTCTGCAGAAAAGGACCTGGGGGTTACAGTGGACAAGAAGCTGAATATGAGTCAGCAGTGTATCAAGAAGGCTTGAGGCATCCTGGGCTGCATTGGTAAGTGTGTTGCCAACAGGTCAAGGGAAGTGATTATTTCCCTCTCTTCAGCACTGGTGAGGTCACAGCTGGAGTACTGTGTTCAGTTTTGGGCCCCCCACTACAGAATGGATGTAGACAAACCGGAGGGAGAGAGTCCAGAGGAGAGCAACAGAAAGAGTTAGGGGGCTGAGAGAACTGGGCTTATTTAGTCTAGAGAAGAGACGACTGCAGATGGTGGGGGGAGATATAATAGCAGCCTTAAACTACCTGAAGTGGGGTTTGAAAGAGAATGGAGCGAGACCAGTGGTGGCAGATGGCAGAACAAGGAGCAATGGTCTCAAGTTGCAGTAAGGGAAGTTTAGGTTACTTATTAGGAAAAATACTCTCACTAGGAGGGTAATAAAACACTGGAACAGGTTACCCAGGATGGTGGTAGACTCTCCATCCTTGGAGGTTTTTAAGACCTGGTTGTACAAAGCTTTGGCTGGGATGATTTTGTTGGGGATGGTCCTGCTTTGAGCAGGCGGTTGGACTAGATGACCCCCTGAGGTCTCTTCCAACCCTCATTTTCCATGATTCTATAAGCCAACACAGTAATTGCCTCACAGTTTTAAGCATCAATATGAAACATCAGCCATGGAAGATAATGATCAGAATTTCTAAAAACAGTATTTTAACCAAGAGTCAGACAGCCCATGCAGTCATAGTCATTGTCAATGGGAGTGTCTCTAGTGCCGATGTTGCCTTACAGAATTGAATGTGCATCAGATAACTATGATGAATGAGCTAGATGGTTGGCTCAGCCTAAGATAAATTTGGTGCAGTTGGACTGGCTGGGCAGCAAAGCCGTGTTTATGCTCATTCAGTCCTGGAGTCAGGCCAGAACTTGAGGGAGCTTAGAGTGACCTTGGGAACCATCCTGGCAGCCTAGGATCACTCCTTATCTCATGCCTGCTGTGGCAGCTCTTCCCACCAAAGGATTTCACTGACACAAGCAATTCCTGAGGGAGACGGTTAAGGCAGTTTCCCAGCAGCTGGATTGGACCTTGGATTTGGGCCTAATAAATATTAAGTCTCCATGTTCACTGGCAAATGTTTTCTTTTCTTACTGATATTTCACAACTGTGGGATGCAGTACAGACAGTAGTACAGATAGCCATCCTCTTGCACAAATTTTATTGACTAGCAGAGATCTAACCTGGGCATTTATGTCATTACTTTAATTTCTTGTCATATTTATTTTCTAACATGCTTTGAATACAATATAGAGTCAAGTAGAAACATAATGCAGTGAGCAGAATCTAGTCTACAGATTATTTATTGTAACAGAGAGAACAAAAGGGTCATTTAATAATTATATTTAATAAACTCTCGGAGTCATACAGTTTATAGAACTATAACATTTACAAGCTGGAATCACTATTTAAGCCACTGAATCGCTTAATGCCTGTGAAATTTCACAGGAGGTAGAAAATGACTAACAGCTTCCCAGAAATCTACAATTCTTAACTACCTTTTAAGCAAAAGTAATCATTTTTTACTTGCAGTAAGCTATGTAGCAGAAGGAACACAAGGGTATTTTTCCATAGTGCTGAAAGAGGCCAGTAGATGGGTAGCTCTGAAAAGTACCTCCACTTTCTTTTTGGATTTCTGATGAGTCAGTTAATAACAAGAAGCTGCAGCTTCCACGGTGCCAAGGAGAAGACAATGTTATACATTAGAATAAACAGGGATGTAAAATAACTGCAACTTGTTTTTCAGCAATAATTATTGTTTAAAAGTTCAGTCATACAATGGCGAAAGGCAGTGACTTGAACATAGACAATGTGATCGGGACATTCTATTATACTGTCAGGCAAGGCAGCACTACTTATCTCACCAGGGGCACCGGGCTCTTTTCTCATAATGAGCACCCTACCTAAAGAAAGGGGAGAACACGTTCTCCCTCATTAGGAAGGCTGCCATGGAGACCAGACTAACCTGTACCTTTGCTGTTCTCTTTCTCTTTACTTACTCCACTTAAGGTGGTTCCTTCCCTTATACCAGTCAAGAGGAATTTTACTATTGACTTGAAAAGGAGTGGTTGGAACCTTTAATTTGGGCCCAGTCCTGCTAGGCACTGAATACCTTTAATTCCCACTGATTTTAATGGCAGCTAAGTATATTCAGCACTCTTCAGAATCAGGCCATTAAAGAGAAGAATGAATCATATTTCTGCTACTGAAGATGAGACAGATCCGGAGGTCTTGGGACTGTGGTCTTGTCTCTTTGTCCCTAATTCACTTTGCCAGGCAAACTCAGAAACCTTTTTACAGTGACCAAAACAACAAGTATTACTAATGTTTGCTTTCTTAGCTAAAGGAGGTTTTCCAAGTCAGAGACATGATATTTAAGTTACTATGGGTGTTCAGCTTTCACAGCGCTTGTGTCCTAATCACAAAGACTGCACCATATTGAAGGTAATTTGACACAGGGTTTGGCTGACCTATCCATTCACAAGTGTTCTGTAAAATAAGCTGGCCCATCATTTTGCTGTGTCACGCTGTGGACTGTAAAGGCATCATGTCACACGCTTTGTTTGTCTTCTTTTTATTAGCTCCCAAGAGGGACAAATGAACAAAGATTATGAGCAAAAAGATACCTGGGGAGGGAAAATGGAAAACAACGTTATTGTAAAGCTAACAGTATATTGCAGATGTTCACAACGTTGGATCAGACGTCTTTATTTTTGCATATTTTTTTATATGGATAAGAGGAAAGCAAGGTGAATGCTATGGGAGGTAAGAGTAATACTGACAACAAAGCAACGGCTGCTTACATAGAAATGCTACTTCCAGCTAGAAATGAGAAAACAATAGGTTTAGTAATAAAAAAGCAGATTCTGTTTTGTTTAATGTTTGTGGGCAATGACATACCTATAGCTCCAATGGTACCAACGATAATGCTCACTGCAGATAACACTGTGGGCCTTCCTTCCATTCTTCCAACTTCTTGCATGCACTGTCCTTCAGTTGTACATAAGCAAATAGTAACTGAGGCCAAGAAAAAGAAAGACAAAGAATGCAGCATGAATTCCTCTGATGGATGTTCTTGAACCATGGACAGGCACCATAAATAGGAAGAGCATTTTTGTCAGCACTTGGACTGGAGAGGAAAAAGGGCCCCAATTTTACCCAGAACAGTATAAAATCAAATCTACATATCCAGCCAGAGCTCTCTACAGATTCAGGTCCCAATAAGGGCATTCTTCAACTCCTTCCCACCCCTCTGTTTTCCAGTCAGCACTAACAAGTACTGGGGTCTGGTATTACCCATGGGCAGATGTAGGATTTTGAAAAAGGGGATACAGATGGAGTGGTGCATCATTCCATATAACACAGCACATATTTTTCTCCAGGTAAAAAGAAACTCAAAGCTTTACTAATGGGCTAGTATTCAGTTTACCATCAAAGCAAAAAACAAATAGAACTCAATTGGAATGAGTTAAAAACAGTCTGCAGAGATGTAGGAGCTACATTACCAGGAACAGCTAGAATGGCTAACTTGATTAGTGGAATATCAAGACCATTAAAAAGGAGAAAGGGTCATTAACACCTGTGGAATGAAGAATTTAGAAGGTATCAGGTAGACTCCAATGAGTGGGCCATGAATTCAGTTGACTCAATCAGCACTGCTTGATTGATAATGCTGCTACCACTGCCAGGCAATTGGTTTTAAACTTTGGGTAGAGCAGGAATCAAAGGGGGATACAAGTGCAACCCCCTTGGATCTGTCCCTGAGCATACCCCAATATACCACCTCTGCCAGGACACCCATCATGTACTGATGGTAATGATAAAGTATAGTAAAAATGTAGGGAGGAGGTGATTGTGTTTTCACAGTTAGGAAAGCGAGAAGATTCTCATTTTGTCACTGAAATCCACTCTGCCTTAGTGCTAAGGAAATAAACTTCATTCCTTGAAAACCAAAGAATGGGAATCGGAGACCTTCTCAAACCATCCCCATTTCTAGTTGTATGTTTTGATGAACACGTGGCACATCAGATGTGAAAGCAACCCTGAACTCTTTTGTTGCTCCTTGCTTCTTTGGCAAAAAATAAAAACCATCTCCCGTTATATTTTTAGCCCTAACTAAATGTGCGTCAGGCAGAGAAATTGCGAAGAAATAATTAGTAAAATTATTTTTAAATAGTAAGGAACATTTTCATCAGTAACAACTTTCCAGCCCTGCTGAAAAACACTTAACTTTTTCCTTACCCACAGAATTATAAGTCTTGAGACATCAGGCTTTTAACCCTTTCATGGAAAACTCACGTGAATGAAGTGAAACAGGTAAACTGAACAATTTGCAACAAATTTAAAGTTAATGTGGTTTTTTTCCTTGTTTTGACATGTATATAAACTCACACAAACTGATCCTAAAAAGATTTTTTCAGTGCTTAACTTTCAATATATGTTCCTTTGGAATTTGGTGTGTTTAATTCCATGTATAAAGTTGAATATTTTCTTATTTAGAGCAATGCTAGACAGCCTCCAGTCAGTAGGAATCTTTCTGCTGTCTTCACTAGGACTCAGATAATGGAATGTTCAATTGAATAAGAAAGTGGCAAATTCAAACCTGAGAAAAACCCATTGTACTCTCCATTGTACGTTTGCATCTCTGTATCTATCTCGTGACTCTTATCCTATATAGGCAACCCCCGCTTAGCGCTCTTAATTGGTTCCATAAAAAACGAGCATTAAGCGGAACCGTGCTGAGCGAAACCCATTTCCCTATAGAAATTAATGTAAATAAATATAATTGGTTCCACCGCCGGCTCCTCAGGCACCACCTGCACTCCTGCCACCTCGCCCTGGGCCCCACCAGCCCTGGCTCCACGCTCCTGCCGCTCCACCGGCCCCAACCCCTGGTCTCATTGTTCTGCCGCCACGATGGTCCCCGCTGGCTGCACCCGCTGGCCGCCCCCGCCCCCGTGTCTGTACCCCACGGGCGGGGGGCCCCCTGCCAGCCAAGGGACTTATGGTGAGAAGGCAGCGGGCTCCGGCCAATGCGAGGGAAGCAGCAGGGCTACCCACCCACCAGTGCCCGCACCCCGCTCCGCGCAGCAGGGGCTCCTTCCAGGACACCTGGCACTGGAACTAGCTGCCGCTGCCAGATTGCTGCAGGATCAGGATGGTGTCTGTGCCCCGTGGGTGAGTGCGTGACTGGAGCAGGACATGGGTTGCAGCCCAGGGGCAGGAGGGCTCCACCGGCTCGGCTCTGCTGTGGCCAGGGGCAGGAGACATCATGCACATGTCCTTGAGCACCGGCTCACACCGGCCCGGGCCCCACACTCCTGCCAGCCCTGGCCCCATGCTCCTGCCACCCCACTGGCCCTGGCCCTGGGTGCCAGCCCAGGCCCTGCACTCCTGCCACCCCACCGGCCCTGGCCCCGGGCACCAGCCCAGGCTTGTGTCCCCTGCCTGCCCCTTTTCACCACTGCCACTGCTCCTCCCCACCTGCCCACCAGCTACCCCTGCCGCCTTGCCTGGGGCCCTGCTGTCCCTAGCCCCAGGCACTGGCCTGGGCTCTGTGCTCACACCACCCATCCCCCCCCCACCCCTTCTCACCGCTGCCGCTGCTCCTCCCCATCAGCTCCAGCATCATGTGCCGGAGCAGACCCTGTGCTCTTGCCACCCTGCCTTGGGCCACCGCCGACCTCTACTCACCACTACGCTCCACGTCACTGCTACCGCTGCTTCTCCCCACCCCCACGCTCAGCGTTTCAGCGAAACGCGCCGAGTGCTAAGTGGAACCCAAGTAGGCATTTTGAATGAGCGCTATAGCGAAACCGCAGTAAACAAAACTGCATTAAGTGTGGGTTGCCCCTACCTTGAATGTAAGCCCTTCAGGCCTGGGATGATCATTGTGTTCAGCCTTACCTACTACAGTTGTGTCCTGGTCCTTGACTAAGGCACCGAGGCATTATGGCAATACAAATAATAAATAACCCGCTGAGTGTTAATTTACCATATGAAATAAAATAGGCTAACTGGAATATCCAGAGCTATACTAGTTAATGCTAAGAAAAACATGAAGGACTCTTAAGGGTTTGAATCAGTGCCTAGTAGAGATTAGAGCAGAATCTAATATGAGAAGGTGATTATCTCACAACTGCTTATTGAAGGGTTCCTAAACCAGGAGGTACTGGATACTCTGAGAATGGAGTAAATAGACATTGGGTCTGATCCAGTGTGGCATGGCCAGTGGATATAGAGCTCAAGGAACTAAGAGTCTTGCAACTGTCTTGTGGTAGTGGATAGCTTCTCCCTAGGTTTCCCTGCATTGTATATATGTCAGACTTTGCCTTTGAATATACAGTTCTTATATTTGAAAGTAGGCACCCATGTTAATGAATGACATTTCTGCTACATTTTATAACATTTATTTAATTTCTTAATGTAGCCTTTAAATGGAGCTGTGGAACAGGGATCTGATTACACAACTAGGATGCAGCAGAAAAGTGATACATAAATATTAAATGTTTCCATTTATCTTTCCAAAGTGTTTGCACTTAGGATGTTCCACTTAATGACCCTTAAAATAGATACTCTAAATGGTTCTCTTTCAAATGAAAGCGAAATACGTGCAGATGAATCACTGTAGCAGTGTTAAATACAAACATCAAAATGTTACTGAGAGCTCTGACCCCATGTGCATGCACAGCAATAGGCTCTTAAAAATTTAAGTGCCTGCTGACCTTATAAAATGTAATTGATGCTTTGAAATGTCTTAGGTATTCAGATGTAACAAACTACAGTGCATTAACTATTAAGAAATCTCAATGAACTGGGAGATCATGTATTAGCGCCTAATCTTGCAACTAGATATGTTCCCTGTATCTGGAGCATCAAATTATTAGATTACAGCCCCGAAACAAAACTGAAACTAAAGACAAACCAGTATCCCCTGAGTCCCAGACTCTTTGCTGAACTGGAGCTATACTTGATTTACCTGTTGAATATAAGTTACTATATAGGGTATTCTTGTGTTGAGTGTTTCTGTGCTTTGTAGTAGTTTCTAAACTGAAGAAATTAAAATGAACAATCTTGTAATGCAGGCTTCCTGGTAAAACAAGAAATGTCATTAAAATACAGCTTTATGGCGCCAGTCCGGGGTGAGCTCCAATCAGATATCACCCATGCCTTTGCAGTGCCATATTGAAATGGATGGGAGTTATTAGCAGCCCAGATCAAGTGCTCTGCTTCTTGTAAATGTTTTGCAATCATGTTGGTTTCTTTATATTCTTTTCTGTAATGAAAGCATTGGTCTCATTCTCCTGACTTTATAGAGCTGTAAAAAGCGGTCCATAGAAAAATTATTCATGGCTCACATAGTCCAGTCTAAAGTCTATTCTAAATCCTGAAGCTTATTTCTAGAGCTTGGACAGCAGTGTACTTATGAGACAGTGGGAGCCAGGAAACACACAGTACTGGCAGGGCTGTGCACAAACCAAGCATCCCACTTGGCTAAAAAAAGCTGTATTCTAGCACTGCCACACCATGTTGGGTAGGTTTGTGAATCAGGCTGGTATGGCCAGAAATTTGCTTTATCATATTAAGGCTCATCAATACATGGTACAGCCATCCAGGCTTCATACTCCAGACCTACACAGTGAGAGCTGACATGCTTGTGACATATACGCCACTGGGGTGAACCTGGATCCCTCTAATCCTAGGGATTACCAACCAATGCAGAAGGCCTGGATTGCTCTCCTGCACACTGGGTTGGACTGGTGAAGCACCTGCTACATGTTAGCCACTTTCTAAACTTTCAAAGAACGTCATTGCCTAAGGACAGACAGCTTAGAGGCAGGAGAGCAGCAGCAAGCAGGGGTAAATGGTAGGGCTGTGTGAAATGGCACCATTCCATTTCACCTTGAGTGTCGAGGTTTCGACAGAACAGCATTTCGTATCGAATTTCATTTTGATTCGAAACAGCTGTTCCGTTTTGCTTTGTCGAAACAGTGAGGCTGTTTCGACTCTGTTTCGACTTCCACTAGATCAGCCAGGGATGGGGAGTCAGCCCAGCTGGGCTGACTTCCATTCCCAGCGGTATGGTCGAAACATTTCGACTAGCCTAGTTTTGTTACGAGGCTGTTTCGAAGCCTTTTGTTTCATTTTGATTTTGCTGTTTCAACCTCCAAATGAGTTGAAATAGTGTCAAAACGAAACGGCCGGCGAAATTTCACACAACCCTTGTAAATGAGGTGAAAGGAGTCTTTAATGTGGGTAGTATAGGAGCCATCTAGTTTGGAAGTATTTCACATTCACTGTGCACGTGGTGCTAAATTGTACACAGTTATGCTCGAACATGTTAGCTGAATTGATTGCACTGCATGGACTTTTTCTGTGCTTTTGCAGGTAGGAACTGTAGTATGATTTCCAGTCCTTCACCTCCTTAATTAAGGATGGGTAGCTGGAAGGCATTAGTCTATGCCCATGTATCCTAGTCTGCTTAGCTTCTCTTGATTTGAACTCCATTGTGGTTTATTAGTTGAGTGCCATCAGCAAACATGAACACCAGTGGCCAGTAAATCACTTAGGAGAAGAGAGCTGTGGTGACTGTATGTCAGTGGTATCATTCTGCAGACAAGGAAAAGGGCTGCATTACCTCAGTTTGTCAGGTGCACTGGGATGTGTTAGTAGAAATGAGCAGAATTGCCAGAATTAACTCTATATGGATAATATTCAAGACTTACTGTGAATACTGCTAGCAGGCATTGCACATGGAGCAGCCTGGTATCCACTAACATCACAGCCCAACAAACTTCTCCCTCAGTATTGTCTAATTTCCATGACCCTTCACAAAACCCTACCCCATCAGGTGCAGGATTTAGCCCCAACTCAAGAGGAGCCAAAGTGAAAGCTTCATCTCTTGGTCAGGTGCCTAGTGTGAGAGCAAGGCAGACAGCTCTGTCTCCTGGGAAAAATCATCTTCCTCGGCTGTGCAGCAGCAGCAACAGTGCTTGACCTCCCTCTTCAGGTGAGCATAGGCCTGGGGAAATGGGAAGTTCTTGAGATCTATTTATGAATAGATCTGGTGGGTTAATGGCAACAGCAGAAAAACATCACAGCACTGGAAGTCTTTCTGGGCAACTTTAATTGCAATTAAACGATCAGCAGTGGTTCACCTAATAGCAAACACCAATCCTTATTTTGTAAAGACAATGAAGACTAGAGATAATACTCAGTATCATTGGACTTATACTAGCACAGGCCCAAAGATAACTTCTCTGATGTATCTTTTTTTAGCCTCCTCTTACTTTTTAATGTCCCAATGTGCTTAGGGC